ATTGGCCACAGCTGCACCCAAGGCCAAGCCATTGGCCACAGCTGCACCCAAGGCCAAGCCATTGGCCACAGCTGCACCCAAGGCCAAGCCATTGGTCACAGCTGCACCCAAGGCCAAGCCTGCAGCCATGGCCGAACTGCCACTCTCTGAGCCCCAACTGGTGAGTGAGCAGCTGGCCAGTGAGAAAGGCAGAACGGAGAGACTAGCAGAGAAGCCTGAGGAGTGGGATCCCTTCCAGCTGTCTGTGGCTCCCCTGAATCTGAGCTGGAGCAAGCCACAGGGCCCACTGAACCTGGAGCAGCAGGCACGGCAGCAGAGGTTTCAGGCCTTCTTCGAGTGCTGCCTGGCCACCGAGCAGGTGACCCTCGCCCACCACATGTTGGTCAGAAAACACTTCTCGAAGTCCAAGCACTGGTGGATCACGCAAGCCATGTACAACACCGTCATGCTCGGCTGGGCTCGAGAGGTGAGGGCCCTTTGGGAGAGGATGATGCCTGCCCTGTCCCTTACATTCCAGTCCTTGGCTTGTGACCCCACAGTTGAAGTCCTTTGGGGTTTTCTGTTTGATTGGGGGGGGGGGGTTACAGGGAATCAAACTCAGGGCCTCACACTTGCCAGGCATGTGCTGTGCCACTGAGCTACATCCCTGGCCTCGATTTTTTTTTTTTTTTTGGCCTCGATTTTTTTAAGACAGGGTTTCATTAAGTCACAAAGTTGTCCTGACTGAGCTCGAGCTTGGTGTTTTCCTGCCTCAGTCTCCTCAAGCTGGGATGACAGGCGAGCCCCTTCACAAGTCCTTTGTTCATTACCTTGATAATTACTTTAGGGTTTTCAAATATAAGTCACATGGAAATTTTGAAAATGATCAAAAACGAAAGGAAAGATTGTGCTCCCATGGTATTGGGTTTTCTTCTGGCTTGTTCTGTCCAAGCTTCTTTTTCTTTTTTTTTTTCTTTTTTTTTTGAGACAGGCTCTTGCTTTGTAGTTCAGGCTGGCCTTGAACTCACGGTGATCCTCTGCCTCCGGAGTGCTGGGATGAGAGGTGTGCGCCCCCATCCCCTGCTCAAAAAATAATTTAACCAGGGCTGGGGATTTAGCTCAGTGGTTCTGCTGCCTGCACCGAAAGCGCAAAGTCCCAAGTTTGATCCCCGGTACCAAAAAAAAAAATTTAACCAGTCTTTGCTGCCCCCTGAGGGGCACACAGCTCCCACCAATGGCACATGAACCATCTGTCCACCTGGCTGCCCCCACCCAAGCCAGTGGTTGCAGGGAGCAGAAGAAGTGAGGGAACCTGGACTGTCCCTGGGACCCTCACCCTGGCATGGTGTCCCCAGGGTTCCTACAAGGAACTGTTGTCTGTGCTGAGGATGATGAAATACAACGGCTTCACCCCAGATTTGCTTTCCTACGCCTCTATCCTGCAGTGCATGGGGCGGGTGGATCAGGATGTCACCATCATCCAAAGGTAGGTGGATACCTGCTGTCACCCTTGGGCACAGCAAGCTCATTGAGGCCTCCAGGGTGAGACATGGGAGGAGGGTGCAAGGTTCCCTGGAGAGGGCTCTGCATTCGGGACGCCCCATCCCATGTGTGCCCACCTCCCCCAAAGGTGTCTGGAGCAGATGGCCCAGGATGGTGTGCAGCTGGAGCAGCTGTTCTACGAGGAGACCCTGTCCAACGAGGAGAGGGCTGCGATGCTGCGGGCTGTGCTCAAGGCCAAGCCCGACTTCCGGCTGCCACAGCCCTCACCACAGGTCAACACCTCGCCGCTGCTCCGGGAGGTCTACTCCAAGGTGAGCCAGGCAGAGGCGGTGCCCAGGCACAGTGGCAGCCCTAGGGTAGCACACACAGGCCACCTTGCCCTTGGGAATGCACTGGCTGCCACCAGCTCGTTTCCTCCTTCCCTGCCTCATGCACGGTCAAGGACCCAGAGCCGAGCCCCCCCTTGTGCCTGAGGTGGCTTTCACCAACCTTCAGCCTTTCCAGAGTATTATAGCTCAGGGAGCACCCAGCCCTGCAGCTACCCCTTTTACCTAGGTCCAGAACATTCCCTTGCCCCAGAGGAAGTCCCCATCCCCTCCCTAGGCCTGGTACCCACAGTTCCACTTCCTATCTCTGAAATCCCCTGTTCCAGGCATTTCCTGTCCAAGGAGCCCCACGCTGTGTGTCCTGTGTCTGGGGTCTCTCACTGAGCAAGGTGCTCCCAAGGTCCATCCCAGGCCGTGACGAGTGTCACAGCCTTGCTCCTGTCCTGGCTGAGTAATATTCCAGTCTGTGGATGGACCTGGGTCAATTTTGCCTTCTAGCTGTGGACAACTGTACACACACTCTGTGTGGACATACATCGTTCAGGCTGCCCTTGAACTCAGTATGTAACCCAGGCTGGCCTCAAACTCTCAGCAATCCTGTCTCAGCCTCCTGAGTTCTAGGACTACAGGCATGTACCACCATGCCTGGCTTTTTGTCTTTTTTTCCCCTTGAGACAGAGTCTCACTATGCAGTCCAGGGTGGCCTCGAACTCACAGGGATCTTCCTGCCTCAGCCTCCTGAGCACTGAGATTACAGGTGGCGATGTCACCACTCCCAGCTCGTGTCCTTATTTTTGTTCCCCTGTACTGAGGATCGAACTTGATCTTGCACTTCTGAGGCAGGCATGGCGCCACTGAGCTACATCCCCAGCCCATCTTGGCCCTATATTTTATTTAATTTAATTTATTTTATTTTATTTTTTGGTACCGGGGATCGAACTTGGGTCCTTGCGCTTGTGCAGCAGGCTGCGAAACCACTGAGCTAAATCCCCGGCTCTTTGTCCCTGTTTTTAACTTGTCTGTTTCTGGAAGGTTACACACCCACACCATGCCAGGTCTGCAAAGAAAACAGCTAGCATCCAAGGATACAAAAAACTACTCCCCCTGACTGACCCCGTGGGCAGCAGACTGGAGTCCCTTGCATGAGGCAGGGCTGGGACTGCGTGGGCGGGGCAGGCTGGGCGCCTCCTTGGGCTCACCTCCCGCTGGGCCCACAGGATGGCCCTGTGTCCTACCCGAGGCTGCACCTCCCCCTGAAGACACTGCAGGCCATGTTCCAGCAGCAGCTGAGTGTGGAGCTGGCCAGCATCGTCCATGTTGAGTCCGTGGAAAAGACCTTGTCGCCAACCCAGGAGACCCTGGAGGCGGTAAGAGTGGGCCTGCATACCAAGTCCCGTGAGGTCCCAACGAGACACTGTCCCCATGGCCCTGTGCGCTCGGGTGATGAGCCCATGCCCTGTCTCCCGCAGCGGAAGACCCTGGCAGCCCTGCACACAACCTGGGAGTCTGAGCTGCATAGCCAGCTGCAGAAGGCCAAGGCCCACCTGGCCAAGGTCACAAGCTACGGGCATCCCACGCTCTACCCCTTCCTGTGCACGGTCCCCGAGGATGAGCTGGTGCAGATGCTCCTACAGGTGATGTCCTGTTCCTGGGTGGGGGCAGGGCTGGGGGCAGGCGGCTGCTGATGCTGTCCCTGTGCCCCCAGTTCCTGCACACAATGCCCGCCCAGGGCGAGCCGTTCGTGTACGTGGTGCACCGGCTGGCCATGCAGACCTTCCAGCGGCACATCGTGCAGCAGAGGCGGTGCCGTGGCCAGCTGCTGGCGCTGGAGCAGCGGTACATGCAGTACCTACAGCTGCTTGCCTCTGACACCCAGGTGCGGCCTGCCCTCCCTTCCTCCTCTTCTGTTCCCCCTCCAGAGGAGGCACAGAAGTCCTGGGCCTCAGTTTCCCCAGGCATGAACTGGGTGCCTAGGCCGGCAGCCTGACTTGCCCTCCTTGCCCTTCCTGTAGGTGGCTGAGCCCTGCCTGCCACGGCAGCACTGGGAGACGCTGGGGCCACCCGAGCCTGCACCACCACAGGTCTGGCCCCTCATGGAGCTCCTGTCACTGGGCAAGCTTCTCCTAGAGATCCTGGTGCAGTCAGTGCAGCTGCCGCCCAGCCTGGCCCTACCTCAGAGCTCCTCCTCCCAGCCAGTCCCTGTGCTGTACCACGTGTATACCTTCCGTGGTATACGCCAGGTATGTGGGGCCAGGCCCTTCCCCAGCCCTGAGGTTGCAGGGCTTGAGGCCCCGTGGCCGGGGAATCTCTTGGCATCCCCAGGTGCTGCTCTTCTATTCCTCATTCTCAGCTGGTGCCTGTCAGTGGGCAGCATGGGCGGGAGCCTGATCACCTGCCTGTCTCGCCCACCCAGATTGGCTTCCTGAGGCCACACCCGGCCTTCATTCAGCTGCTGGACGATGCTGCAGAGCCCTTGATGATCTTTGAGGCAACCGACATGCCCATGCTGTGCCCCCCACTGCCCTGGGCCTCGTCACAGTCTGGAGGCTTCCTGCTGAGCCCCACCAAGCTGATGCGCTCTGTGGATGGCTCCCTGCAGCACCAGAACCTGCTGGACAGCTGGCCGCCCACCGAGCTGCATGGCGCCCTGGACACCCTCACGCAGCTGGGCAACTGTGCCTGGCGTGTCAATGGGCGCGTGCTGGACCTGGTGCTGGAGATCTTCCGCAACAAGGGCTGTGCGCGCCTGGGTGTACCGCCACCTGCCTCTGAGGCACCGCGTCCACCGCTGGAGGACTTGCCACCCAATGCCTCACCGCATCGCAAGGCTGAGCTGCGGCAGGAGGTGGCCAGCTGCCTGAAGATCGCACGGGAGATGCATGGCCTGCGGCGGGAGGCCTTGTACCGCCTGTCGCTGGCCCAGCACCTGCGGCACCAGGTCTTCTGGCTGCCGCACAACATGGACTTCCGCGGCCGCAGTTACCCCTGCCCGCCCCACTTCAATCACCTGGGCAGCGACCTGGCCCGTGCCCTGCTGGAGTTTGCTGAGGGCCGCCCACTTGGCCCCCATGGTCTTGACTGGCTCAAGATCCACCTGATCAACCTCACTGGGGTCAAGAAGCGTGAGTCACTCCGCGTCCGCCTGGCCTTTGCCAACACCGTGATGGATGACATCCTGGACTCAGCTGACCAGCCCATGACGGTGTGCTGGGCTCCTACTCCCATCTGTCTCCTCCTCATTCCTCCGGCCCTTGGGGCCCCTCATCCACTCTGGCTCCAGCCATCTCTGGTTTTTTTTGGTACTGGGGCTTGAACTTGGGACCTTGCGCGTGTGAGGCAGGGGCCTGCACCACTGAGCTAAACCCCTGGCCCTCCACCCATCTCTGTATTCTTCCTGTCGGCTCCACACCCGGGGGCTCAGTCCAGCCCAGTTCCTTCTTTCTGTCCCTTTCTTCTGCCCATGTCCCCTGAGCTGGCCCTGAAGTCCGGTCCTGCCCTCACCCACTTCCCCTGTAGGGCCGGAAGTGGTGGATGGAAGCTGAGGACCCCTGGCAGACACTGGCGTGCTGCATGGAGGTGGCTGGGGCTGTGCGGTCCCCAGACCCTGCTGCCTATGTGTCCCATCTGCCCATTCACCAGGTGGGCACTGGGTGGCCCTGCTGTGGGCTCCCCAGTTGTATCCTGGGTGTGGTGGGCCTGGCTCTGGGGTCACCCACGCCTGCATGTGTCCTCCGGTCCCCTGCATGGTGGGGGACACATGCATATGATGGGGGCGGTGTTTGGGCTCATGGCTGCCCCCACACAGGATGGCTCCTGCAATGGCCTGCAGCATTACGCCGCCTTGGGCCGAGATAGTGTGGGCGCTGCCTCTGTCAACTTGATGGCCTCGGACAAGCCACAGGATGTGTACAGTGGGGTGGCTGCACAGGTGGGCCCTGACCCTCAGATGGCCCCACAGCCTCAGCCCATCTGACCTGGAACCAGACCCCGGGTCTGGGTGAGACAGGAGCCAGGGACCCCCTCCCCAACAGTACTGACCACCTGCCGCTGCCACCTCCATAGGTGGAGGTGTTCCGCACTCAGGATGCGAAGCAGGGGCTGAAGGTGGCCCAGGTGCTGGAGGGCTTCATCAGCCGCAAGGTGGTGAAGCAGACAGTCATGACCGTGGTCTACGGGGTCACCCTCTACGGCGGGCGCCTGCAAATCGAGAAGCGCCTCCGCGAGCTCAGTGACTTCCCACAGGTGTGAGGCCCAGCCCCACCCGCTCTGTCCCCCATCCGCATCCCAGGCCTTGTTTCCTCATCTGAAAGTCCCCAGAGAGCCCCCACTCGGGGTTGAAGGGTTCTGTGGGCTCCCACTCCAGAAATGGGGGGTCTCATGAGCCTCTGCTTTGGGACTGGCTGGGAGAGGGGTCCCCTGGCCACTGCTCCAGGCTGGGCGTGGGAGGCGCAGATGTGGACGCCAGCCTGTCCCCAGGTCTTTGTGTGGGAAGCCTCCCGTTACCTGGTGCGCCTGGTCTTCAAGAGCCTCCAGGAGATCTTCTCAAGCACCCGGACCATCCAGGTGTGTCCCTGCGTCCCGTCTGTGCTGCCCAGCTCAGCCCTGGCCCCGTGGGAACAGACTGAGTGGGTGCCTGTGTCCCGCAGCACTGGCTGACCGAGAGCGCCCGCTTAATTGCCCAGGCGGGCTCAGCCGTGGAGTGGGTCACACCCCTGGGCATTCCCATTATCCAGCCCTACCACCGGGAGTCCAAGTTGGTGGTACGTGAACCTCTGCACCCCCTCTTACTGCTGTCCCCTGGCTGGTCCTTGTACAAGGCTCATGGTCCCACTGCCACCCCACTTGCAGCTCAGAGGCGGCCTCCAGAGCATCACCTGGAACAGCTCCGTGGATCCCACCAGGTGAGCAGGGACACTGGGGCTTGGGGGGGGTGTTCTGGGGAGGGAGCTCTGGGTCCAGCCCTGCTCAGCCCCCGACCTGGCTGGACACTTCCCCAGGAAGCCCAACACGATGAAGCAGAAGAATGGCTTCCCGCCCAACTTCATCCACTCTCTGGACTCCTGCCACATGATGCTCACAGCCCTGCATTGCTACAGGTGGGCACTGCTGTCCTTGTGCCATCACGGCACACCAGGCCCCTGCCGACTGTGGGTCAAGGCCAGCAGATGGACACCATTCCCAGGGTCAGGCCAGGGTGGGCTCTGTACTTGCAAGTCTGTGGGGAGCGGCTGTGTGTGCAAAGTCCTGGGAGCAGCAAGATGTTCGTGCTAGGGAAGGGAGGTGTCGCCCTGAAGGGGAAGAGGACACTTGAGGTCTCTACACAAGGTCCCCGTGGCCATGGAGAGAGGGAAGTCATTCAGGGTTTGTGCCCTGTGTTCAGCGTGGGGCCTGGAGACGGTGTGGACAGTCCTGCCACAAATGTCCGCAGGGCTGAGTGGGGTTCAGGGTGCTGTGTGCTCCATCTGCATGGCTCTGGCCTGGGATGGTGCTGTGGGTGGAAACTGCACCCCCATCTCTCTGGAAGAATCCGGCCGGCCGTGCTGAGGAGCGACTCCCTACCCTGACCCTTCCCTCCCAGTAGATGGGGGTGGGGGGGTGGGCTGTGCCGAGCTCCCCTTCATGGCTGCCCCTGCCGCAGGAAGGGCCTGACCTTCGTCTCTGTGCATGACTGCTTCTGGACACACGCGTGTGACGTCCCCATCATGAATCAGGTGCGTCTGTCTCCACCCCCCTCCCTGGTGCTGCCCAGGCCCCGCCTAACCTGGCGCCCCACGTGCTTTGCAGGTGTGCCGAGAGCAGTTCATCAGGCTGCATAGCCAGCCCATCCTGGAGGACCTGTCCGCCTTTCTGGTGAGGCGCTTCTGCTCGGCAGACAGGTGAGGTGCCGCCCTGTGGCCTGAGCCAGAGCCAGACCGACCCTTCCCGCCTAGCCTCATCCACTGCCCTCCCCTCCTGCCCTTACCACCTGCCCTCCTCCAGAGCCGAGCTCGGGACAGACACCAGGCAGCTGCTGGAGACGCTGTTATCCGTGCCGCAGAAAGGTATGGGCAGAAAGGTGCCGGGGCAGGCGCGGCCTCCACATGGCCTGCGCCGCCTGCTCATGCCCCCGCCTGTCCCTCCACAGGGGACTTTGACCTGCAGCAGGTGAAGAGCTCCACCTACTTCTTCAGCTGACGCAGGTCCTGCCCGCTGTCCCCGGGCGCCCCATGCACAGTGTAAATAAAGTCTGTCACCACCCACAGAGCCGCTTTGTGCTGAGGATGTGCGCGCCCTTGCTGAGCGATGAGACCCGGCGCCAGTGCTGTCGTTTATTGCGCGGAATGGGGGCGAGGGTTAATGGGGCGTGGGGGCCGCGGTGGGCGCTGCCTCGGCTGTCAGTACATTCATCGCGACGGCGGGGACCCGGCCTCGCCCCCACGCCTGCCTGCGTGGCCAGGATGCCCACCCCTGGTGCCCGTGCTGGAGGAGGGGGCAGCGCGCTGGGACGGGGACCGGGCCGGGCCGGTTATTGCGTGAGCGCGGTGGGGACAGCGGGAAGCCGGCGGGCACCTACGGGGCAGTCGGGTGCGGGCTCCGCAGCCATCTCACTGCCAGGGGCCGGCCCCGTCCCCGCCTCCAGTCTGGGGAACTGAGGCACCGAGGTGAAGGGAGCCCCTCGCTCGGGCGCAGCTGCCGCCACCTGGGGCGATGAGGATGGGCGCGGGCAATGGGGGACAGCTGGGCTCGAAGGGTGCCCGCCGCCCGTCCATGCGACTACCTAGGTCCCTCTATGGCTTCTGCGCGGCGGGCGGGTGGGCGGGCGGGGCATGGCTTTGGTCTGGATGAGGCCCCGCCCGGCCGGCGGCCCGCGGGGCGGCGCGCAAGGGTCACAAGTTGGACGAGAGGCGAGAGCGCGCAGAGTCCAGCGGGTCGAGGCCGCCGGCGGCGCTGGGTGAGGCCGAGTCCCTGCGGTCCGGGCTCGGGGGGGCGGCTGCGCGTGTGGCGGGCGCGGGCCCCAGGCGCGGCGTGGAGCTGCTGGCCGGGCGCGCCGAGCTCGCGGGCCCCGGGCCGAGCGCGCCGTGGGGCAGCGAGGGCTGTGAGGCCGACAGTGGGCGCGACGCACGGCTCAGACGGCGCGCGGGTAGTGTGGGCCCGACGCGGGGACCTGCGGGCGAGCCGGGTATGCCGCCGTAGGGCAAGGTCCGCGGGGCCCGGGGGCTGGCGGGCACGCCCGGCGGGCTGGCTGCTGGCCCGGTTCCGGGCGAAGAGGCTGTGGCGGCGGGCGCGGTCCCAGGGGGCGCGCGGCGCACGAGGCGCGGTGAACCCAGCGCCAGCGGCCCCACGAGTGGCCGCGCCACCTGGGGGCAGAAGCTCATGGCCACCGCCTGCTGCAGCGTGGCGATGGCCGAGGTGACCTGTGGAGGGGGCGGCGGCGGGAAGAGCCCCACGCGCTGGCCCAGCTCTGCCTGCTGCACCATCTCGCGGTCATACTTGACGATCTCCTGGATGATCGCGTTCTCCTGGTTGTTGAACACGCCTGAGCTCAGGTCGTGCTGCACCTTGTGCAGCAAGATGGAGTTCTTCTTGCCTGTGGGCGGGAGGGACGGCTGAGCGCGGCGCCTGCGGTTGGCACCGCACATGCTCGAGTGACACTGGGGGAGTGCTGGCTGTGTGCAATGACCACACACAGGGAGCCTGCTGTGTACAAGCAGAGTACATGCAGATAGTCTGCTGTGTAGAACAAGCAGCTACCGAGCTCCTGCTCTATGCATTTTGCATTTGTGTGGTAACGGCAGCGTAGAACAAGCTGCCGTTGAGCCCTTGCTGTATGCAGCAGGCACGCACGGGGCATTCCACACAGCAAGTTCATGCAGTGCCTCTGTGTAGAGAAGTATACAAGTGCCCACCACATACAGGCTGAAGACCTGCTGCATGGAATGGCCAGTGTTGAGCATCCACTGTGTACAACAGGTGTGTGTGGAACAAGTATCGGGCGGCTTTCTCCAGGCAGAGCTTGCCATGTGTAGTAAGCACAAGGAGCACCTGCCGGATACAGAAAGCAACTGCCCAGGCCTACTCCATACTGCAGCACATGTGGAACATCTGCATACAGCAAGTGCACAGGCCCTGCTGTGCACACACCCTGCTGCATGCATTAATGTTGAGCACCTGTGCCCCGCCAGCACCACTGAGCACTCACGGTGCACTGAGAGGCCTGCCCCACCCCTCCCAGTCCTTCTTTATCAGCCATGATGATCAGCCTCTTGGTGTGGCTCCAGCCTCCCTGTCCCTAAGGCCATATAGACCCAATAGGTGGACCATTGTCTTCCTCCCAGATTCTGGCCCCTCAGAATGAAAATCTGAACAGGTTCTCCCCACCCTACCTAGAACCCTCCAGGGCTCCCTAGCGCTCCTGCTTTACTGTATGAACTCTCCCCCCACAGCCCACTCTTGTTTGTTGTTTTGAGACAATGTCTTGCTTTGTAGTCCAGGCTGGCCTTGAGCTCACTCCTGCCTCAGCCTCCCAAGTGCTGGGATTACAGGCCTGCACCACTACATTTGGCCACCTCAGGGCCTTTGGATGTGCTGTTTGTGCTGCAGAACCACACCCTCCTTTCCCTCTGGTACATCTGTTACCCTCCTCCCACTCAGCATCCCCTCCTGCCTGGCTGGCACACATGCGACCTGTCTGATGCCACCTGGCACATGGCCTCCCCCTTCCCTCACTGCAAGTGCTCAGCAAACATTTGCCATCGAGCAGAAACTGCACACAGCCTGGGGTACCCCAGCTTCTCTTCCGAGCAAAGGAGGGGGGATACCAGGCCCCGGCATGGCCCCCAGTTCCTTCTCCCCTCGGCCAGCTCACCGATGCGGTCCAGGCGGTCGATGGCCACCGTCTCGAAGGCACGCCGCATCATGGGGTACTCCTCCAGCACCTCATTGAAGTTGTCTACGCTGAGCGAGTAGAGGCGGCAGTAGGTGTCGGCGCGCACGCTGGCCGTGCGCCTGCCCCTCGTGAGCAGGCAGATCTCTGTGGACAGGTAAAAGTGGCTCCAGCACACCTGAGCTAGCACGGCCCGCCTCTCCAGCCCTAAGTGGCTCCCTGGGTCCCAGCCCCGCCCTGGCGCTCACCCCCGAAGTAGGAGCCGTCTGACAGCTTCATCTCCTTGTTGCCCTTGGTGAGCACGCTGACCACGCCATGTTGGATGAAGTACATCTTCTTGCCAATGGTGCCCTCACGGATGATGTAGTCGCCTGGCTGGAAGACCTCGAACTTGAGCTTCGTCAGCATGGCCGTGACGAAGTTGGGGTCAGCGTTGGCGAAGAGCGGCATGGAGGCCACCAGCTTTCGGCAGTTGAAGTTGACGATCTCCTGCAGGACGGGGCAGGAGGCGGCTGTGTCACCCTGTCCTGGTGGGGACTAGTGGGTGTCTCAGACCTGGGGGCTGGCGCTGTGGCCTGGCAGCCAGCATCTTGCTTTACAGGCAAAGGCCAGAGGTTTTGCCGGCAAGGACAGGCTTGAGGACAGCAGCATGGGGCCCCTATTCTAGCCCCATACGGGGGACCAGCTGGAGCAACTGGAGAAGAAACGCCGATAGGGAGAACTGAAAAGGAAGAAGGTAAGCTGTTGGCAGATAACTTGACAACCTGGAAAGCTCAAAAGAATCAAGGGAGTGGCCAGGTGTGGTGCACACCTCTCATCCCAGCACTCTGGAGGCTGAGGCAGAAAGATCACAAGTTTGAGGCCAGCATGGGATACAAAGTGAGCTCAAGGCCAGCCTGAACTGCAATGAGATGCTGTTTTAAAAAAAACTAGAAAGGCCGGGGATTTAGCCCAGTGGTTCCAGCGCCTGCCTCGCAAGTACAAGATCCCTGGTACCAAAAAAAAAAAACTGGAAAAAAAAATGAGCAAAGGACCCTGCAAAAGTCCGGGTGATAGTTGCCCTATGCAAGGTAACCACTAGGGGCAGGAGTGCTCTGTCTTTGATGTAGGTGGGATTACCAGGACATTCATCAGAGGTCCAGCTGTGTCCTTGTAATGTCAGCCTTTTCTGTAAAACACATCTCAAAAAGAAAATCTCACCTTAACAAGAAAATAAACAGCACTGTCCACACAAACAACAGCACTCTGGAGGAAACTCACAGATGAGCAGAGGTGTTCACATAGACAGAGAGAGCCCTGGGAGATGGCTCAGTGCAGCTTTAACCAGAGCAACCAGAACTGTAAGACGAACACTCGGAATCCCAGCACTCAGGGAGGCTGAGGCAGGAGGATTGCAAATTCAAGCCCAGCTTAGATAACAGTAATTTAGCGAGCCCCTGTCTCAAAAAATAAAAAAGGCCTGGGATTGGAGCTCAGTGCAAAGGTCCTGGGTTCAATCCTCAGTACTGAGAAGAAAAAAAAAAAGAAGAGGTTTGTTTATTTATTTATTTATTTATTTTGGTCCTGGGGATCGAACTCCGGACCTTGCGCTTTCAAAGCAGGCAGCAGCACCATTGAGCTGGATCCCTGGCCTGAGGTTTGTTTATTTTGAAAACTCTGAAGCTAGCCAAGGTCATTTAGAAGAACAAGTTAGCAAAACCCAGCAGGAATGAGATGAAAAGTGAGTGCGGGAGGCGGGACCCACACCCACGACTCACTCCGCAGTTGGCACTGGGGGGGGTCAGAAACAGGGCTGTCAGTGACTCAGTGGTGAGCGCTTGCCTAGTACACATGAAGTCCTGGGGTCCATCTCTAGCAACAAGGAAGAAAATGCAAGCTGGGTGACATGGCAGACACCTGTCATCCCAGCACTCTGGGAGGCTGAGGCAGGAGGAACTCAAGTTTGAGTTCAGCCTGGGCAACTTGGTGATTTAGCCAGACCCTGTCTTAAAAAATAAAAAAGAGGATGGGGATAGATCTCAGTGCACAGGCCCTGGGTTTAGTCCCCACTATTGAGAAAAAAAAAGTCCAGAAACAGACCCCCACAGAGTGGATTTTAGCAGAAGGTAAAAGGGACTCCTCATGTGAGTCACTGACGGCAGGATGGACTGGAACCTTGTCTTACACCATGAACCAGGAAAAGCCAGAGGGCCCAGGGATCTATGGGTCAATATAGAAAGCACTGGAAGAAAATAGGACTGACTTTCTCTGTGAGCTGAGTGGCTACCACAGGCACATATCGTGCACTTGCTGAATACAGCAAACAGGAATCAGGGACCTACTACATACAGCAAGTTTATGTTAAGTGCTTGGAGTACACAAAAAGCAGGTATTAAACACCTACTTTGTACAACAAGCAAGTAAGTTATGCCTCCTGGATGAATCAGGCATTTATCCAGCACCTACTGTGTATAGCAAGCATACACGGAGCACCTGTTAGACACAGTGTTAAAAAATCTGAGCCGAAGTCAGGCAGATGCCTGTCACCCCAGCTATTCTGGAGGCTGAGGCAGGAGGATCACAAGTTGGAGGCCAGCCTGGGAACCTTAGCAAGACACTGTATCCAAATAAAATAAAAAGAGCTTTTGATGCAGCTTGGTGCTCCCTGTGTTCAAGGCCCTAATACAAAAAAAAAACCCCAACTATAAGTGAAGTTAAAAGACAAGCGGCCATCAAAATAGAATCTGTGTCACAAAGGGTCAGTGTGTGCCATATATGAAGAATTTCTAAAAACAGAAAAAGCCAGAACTGGATGTGATGACACCTCCATCTTCCTCGCACTCTGGGAGACTGAGGCAGGAGGATCACAAATTCAACCCCAGCCTTTGCAATTTAGCAACTTACTCAGACCCCTGATGCAAAATGAAATAATCAAAAGGGTTGGGGATGGAGCTCAGTACAAAGACCCTGAGCCACTCAGCCTGGCCCACAGGAGCCGCTCCAAGCAAGTGACACCGTTCCTCAGGACCCTGGTGTCCCCGTTGGGCCTCAAAGGCAGAGTTGGGACAACCCAGGGCCCTGGCCCAGCACCTGGCCAGGTGCAAATCTCACAACCCACTGGGAATGGCAGCCAGGGGCTTCACACTGAGCTACATTCTCAGCCTTTTTAATTGTATATTTTTAGACAGTCCCACTAACTCACCAAGCTGTGCACCATGGGCTGGAACTTGTGACCCTCCTGCTTCAGCCTCTCAGCATGCCAGGATTACATGCACATGCCACCATGCGCAGCTAAAAGCAGTGAATTTAATGCATTTTGTGGTCTGTGAGTTCTCGCTCTCCACAGAGGGAAGGAATGGGATTCGTAGTGGAAACGTCATGGAGTGGAGACTCCAGCCTCTATGACCACGGTGCTCTCCGGCTCCTGGGAGGCAGCGTGCGGCTCCTCCTCTGGGCCTTGTGGGGCCCCTGCCTGGCCCTGGATGTGGCCTCCTCCTGGGACGCGCTGTCACCTCCCGGCCCTCATCCTGCCTGCCCCACACTCTTCTCCTCTGGTGTCCTCGGCCCTTCCTGCAGTGACCCCATGAGTGTGAGCGGGCGGAGCAGGGTGTCCTGGGTGTGGGGTATGCTGGGGGCTTTCCCGAGCGCCTGCCAACTCACCTCCCGCAGAGGCCCGTTCAGCTCGCCCAGGATGCTATCTTCGTCGAACATCTTGCCCTGGTATCGGTGCTCGTAGTAGTCGTGGATCTTCTGGCGGAAGTCGGCAGGCAGCTTGTGGAAGGACATGTACTGCTCCACTTGCTTGTACTGTGGCGGGGAAGAGGGCGAGGACAGGGTCAAGACAATGCCAAGTAGGTCTTCTCATGTCTCAGCTAGAACCGCGCTTAAATAATAACTGGTCAGTTTCATGAACTCTTACTATTCTGAGTGAGCACACCTGTAATCTCAGCGCTCAGGAAGCTGAGGCAGGAGGATCGCCGTGAGTTTGAGACCAGCCTGGGCTACACAGCAAGTTCAAGACCAGCCTGAACTACACACAGAGACCCTGTCTCAAAACACCAAAAATAAATAAATCAATCAATAAGTAAGTAAGTAAATAAATATTTGCTGGGTGTGGTGGTGCATGCCTCTAATCCCAGCACCTGGGAGGCTGAGGCAGGAGGATTACCATGAGCTCAAGGCCAGCCTGGACTACATAGAGACCCTGTCTCAAAAGAAAAAAAAAAAGGTACAGGCTGGCTTCAGACTCACAGCACTTTGGAGGCTGAGGCAGGAGGATCACCATGAATTTGAGGCCAGCCTGGACTGCATAGTGAGCTCAAGGCCAGCCTGGACTACATAGAGACCCTGTCTCAAAAGAAAAAAAAAAAGGTACAGGCTGGCTTCAGACTCACAGCGATCCTCCTGCCTCAGCCTCCCAAGTGCTGGGAGTATAGGTGTGCACCACCACTCTTGGCTAAAAAGTTATTTTTGGCAGGGTCCTGGGAAATGAACCCAGGGTCTCTGTACTGAGCTACATCTCCAACTCTTTATTTTATTATTTTCTTTTTTGAGACAAGGTCTTTCTAAATCTATAAATTGGCCAGGCCGGGCTGAGATTTACAGTCCTCCTGCCTCAGACTCCCAGAGTGGTGGGATTACAGGTGTGCACATATACAGTAGGCCCTAAATAATAATTCTAAAATAATTTTAAATGAACTCCTAGGGCTGCCAGATGAGAGGCAGAGTTGAATATCACATAACACAACATAGGGCTGGGGATTTAGCTCAGTGGTTCCGGCCCCTGCCTCGCAAGTGCAAGGTCCCTAGTTCGATCCCCCATACCAAAAAAAATAACACAACATAAATGCATAGTATGAATATATCCCTTGCCATTTTGGGGATATATTTGTATAAGGGAAATGCATTTATTGTCTATATGAAATTTAAATTTCACCTGTCATCCCAGCTCCCTGGGAGGCTGAGACAGGAGGATTCCAAGTTCGAACCAGCCTGGGCAACTTAATGACTTAGAGAGACTCTGTCTCAAAATGAAAAATAAAAAAGGCTGGGGATGTAGCTCATTGTGAAGGCCTTGGATTCCCCCCCCCAGCACCGTAAGAACAACAAGAATCACATTTAACTAAGCATGCTGAATCCTGACTGGCTCCCTGTGTGGCTCCCTCCCCAACTTTTATCCAGAACCTTCCAAGCAGGGCAGGGTTGGGTGCCAGGCCCTGCTGTCCCCAGGATAGCCTCCCCCGGTGCCCCAGCCCCACTTCCGGCCAGCCCCGCCTGGCCACAGCTGCCCTGAGCTCAGCAGAACCCGTGACGGCAGGCGGGTGGCGGCACCAGCTCATATTTGGGTGCAAGGCCCACAGCTTCCGGACAGCAGGACGCCTGGCATGGGGCCCAGCTTACCCGCCCTCCCCGGCTGGCACTGCTGGGGGTGTTGTGGCTGTCAGCCAGGACTGACCCATGGGGCAGGACAGACAGGGTGGCACTGGGAGGGGCAAGGTGGGCCCTGGGCCTTGAAGGGAAACTGAGGCACATAGGAACCAATGGCTGTGCACAGCCCCTAGGACCAACCCTGCAGATGTCCTTCTAAGGCAGAGGCCAAACAGGAGTCCCGACTGCCTTGCTGTCCCTGAGGCTTGCCCTGTGCCCTCTGCTGCTGTGTCCCTGACACCCAGCCTCAGCACCTCTACCCAGCCCGACCTGGGGCAGGGACCTGCCCTCTCTGAGCCCCTCAGCCCTGACACCCTCTAATCACAGCCCCATGAAACCCTCCCTTGCCTCTGTGCTGAGCACTTGACAAACAGGGGGAAGGGTGGGCCTGCCTGCCCCTCAGGCTCCCTGGGACACAGCAGCCCCGCACCTTCTCCTGGTACTGGCGCCGGGAGGAGTCCAGCGACTGGATGAGGGCAGTGGCGTGGCCGATGAACATGGCATAGCACGTGGCGCCCACGATCATGCTGAGCATGGTGAGCCAGATGTCCGTCATGCTCTCGGGTGCCTGCTTCCCATACCCGATGCACAGCATGTGGCTCATGGCCTTGAAGAGTGCGAAGGAGTAGAGCTCGCTCCATGAGTGGTTCTGCAAGCAGGGTGGGCAGTTGGGGTGGCTCCACCCCAAGGAGCACCCCCGCCCCTGGCATCAGGTGGGGAGTGCTCCGTGGCCAGAGATGACCAAGAGGAACAGACCCAAGCTGGAGACTTGTGCTCACATGTCACTGCAAGACAGTGCTGGAGTGGGCCTGAGGCCACTTCCTACTTCACTCCTGGGGAAACAATCTGACCAGAGCAGCTGCAAGACCCAGAGGCTGTGCATAGTCTGGGAATGCTAGGGACAGGGAAGTTGGGAGTGCTGGAGTCGAATCCTCCGAGGGGCAAGGAGGGCAGAGGTCCTGCGCCTGGCTGTCCTCGGCTGACCCAGGGTGGGGGTGGGGATGGCATTCAGGAAACCAAACCGCTTGAGCAGGCGGCTGCCAGACAATGGGCTCCTCAGCCCAGGCAGCTGTGCCAGGCGCCGGGGAGGGGCTGCTGACACCATCCACGCTGGCCTGCCCTGCATCCCAGCCACACACGCCTGGCCCCACGTGTGCCTCTGGCTCCAAGGCAGGAGAAAGGCTCACTTCAGCACCTGCTGGCTCACTTGTTTGTGCTTTCACACAGGATCTCACTACACAGTTCAGGATGGCCTTGAACTCACTCTACAGCCTAGGCTGGCCTCGAACTCAGTGATCCTCCTGCCTCAGCCTCCTGAGTGCTGGGATGACAGTGTGTGCCACCATGCCTGGCTCCAGGTGGTCTTTTTAACAGCCATGATCAGGCCAGCAAACAGGCGGCACTGTTGTGTTATTTCTCATGGCCCATGAGCCCACTTTCCCAGTGGAGGGCTGAGATGGGCATTTTTCTTTTAAAAAATTTTGTGTAAGCTGGGCGTGGTGGTGCATTGCCTGTCATCCCAGCACTCTGGGAAGCTGAGGCAGGAGGATCACAAATTTGTGCCCAGCTTGAGGAATTTAGCAACTGAGCAAGACCCTGTTTTAAACTTAAAAATAGAAAAGGGGCTGGGAAAGTAGCTCAGTGTGAAGGCCTTAGGTTCCTTTTGTGTAGAGACAAATAAATTGGAAAACAACCCTGAGCAGATCTTGGGGTGACAAGGATCCCACAGTGCCCCTGGAATGACTGGACCTGAGCTGCCTGTGGATGGCATGGGTGGCGGGGGATGTGGGGCTCAGCAGTCAGCAGCAGCCTGGAGGGGCTCTGAGGAGCAGCTGGGGCTGCACAGGGCCAGGCGGCGCTGGGGACCAGGCGGGGGCTCACCACCATGTTGTTGATGGAGACCCAGCAGTTGCTGGGGAAGTCCTGCAGCATGGGCACCAGGAACTGCAGGCAGCCGTCCCAGTGGCAGAGCAGCAGCATCATGCTGATGAGGTTGCAGATGCGCATGACTGCGCTCGCTAGGTCATAGGTCATGTGGAAGATCTGGGGTGAGGGCAGATCTTTGTGAGGAAGGCAGACCCCTGGACATCACTGCATCCTGGGCTCTGCACCCTCCCCAAGGCTCTGAGAGCACCCACAGCCAGCTGGAATCCCCCACTGCAGGGTCAGGGAAATGCCCAGACCCTTCCCAACCCCTGTCCAGGGACCCCTGCCCCATCCCACTGTCCCCTCACCCCAAGTTTCCCCAGTGGCCACAGCCCCAGGAATCAAGGCAGGAAATCTGGACCTGGGAGGTTGTAGCTGGCTTTACGTCTCTGAGCCCGTTTCCCCTTGGCATCAGGACGTGGATCCCTCCTCTTACAGGTCCCCACCACAGGGCCTCTCTCCAAGCCCTGGTTCTGCCCCTAGGGCTCCACCCTCTTCTGGATTCCATCCAGGGCCCCCAGGCCCCTCACCCGACCCCCTGAACCCCTAAACCCGCCCCATCAGCCTCTGGATAACTCACCCCTGGCTCCCTGTAACCCAGAGCCTCCCCTCCACATGACACTGCCTCATCTTCTCCCTGCGGTCCAGTGTGGACTTTGTAACCCTGCCCGGTGCCTTCTGTCATGGCCCTGCTTTGCTGTCTTGGTGTCCCCCTTGGCCCAGCAGCCTTCATCCCAGCCCAGCTGCCCCCAGCCCCCCTCATGCCCACCCCCACCCCCCCGTTCCTGCAGCATCGGCCCCGCCCACACACCTTAGGCTCCACCCCATGTCCCGCAATGCCCCATTCCTGTAGCCTTAACCACGCCCCAGTCCCTCATGAACCGCCCCACTGGTGTCGCTCATGCTTCCACCTCACCTGAGGCTCGGCCCTCATGGCCCCCACATCCCCTCAAGGCTGCCTTATACCTGAGGCCTCACCCCGCGTCACACACAAGCATTGACCCCTCCTGCTCCACTCCATCCTCACGCCTCGCCCTATAGCCTTGACCCCGCCCCCACACGGAGGCCCCGCCCCCACCCCTCACCTCCTCCCACTGGTGGATGTAGCGGATGAGCCTGGACAGGCGAAGCAGCCTCAGCAGGCTGAGGATCTTGGTGAAGCGCACGATGCGCAGGGCACGCGCCGTCTTATAGACTTCAGAGTCGATGCCCTTCTCCACGATGAGGAAGATGTAGTCCACTGGGATGGAGGACACGAAGTCCACCACAAACCAAGTGCGCAGGTACTTCTTCTTGATCTTCTCGGGGTCCAGGATGATTTCCGTGTTGTCCTCGATCACGATCCCCGTGCGGAAGTTGAGCACCAGGTCCATGAGGAAGAAGGTGTCCGAGACCACGTTGAACACGATCCAGGGTGCCGTGGTCTCATCCTTGAAGAAGGTGATGCCCACGGGAATGATGATGAGGTTTCCCACCATGAACAGCAGCATGGTGAAGTCCCAGTAGAACCTGCGGGAGGCCAGGCCACTCACACCTCCTCCCAGCAAGAAGCCCCCACCCCAGGCAGCCCAGGTCCCTCCTCTGGGCCACAGGGAGGGGACCTTAGAGAGCCCAGGAAGCTGCTCACAATGGACCAGAAAGGGACAGCGTGCCTGGCACAAGGCTGGAGTTCAAAGACTAGTAAGGGTAAGCTGGGAATGCTGTTGAACACCTGTCATCCCAGCACCCAGGGTAAGCCCAGCCTGGCCAACTTAATGAGACCATGATTCAAAATAAAAAATAAACAGAGGCTGCAGATGCAGCTCAGTGCAAAGGTTCTGGGTTCAATTCCCAGTACTGGGGGGAAAAAAACCCTAAACAATAAATTAGGGAGAGGGGAAAAAGAGACTAGCAAATGGAGTGGCAGAGGGCAGGCAGGGCATCAGGCATGTACAGAAAGGCAGAGGAAGGCTGAGGCCGAGCACAGACAGGGCCAGAGTGCACTGGCTGTGAGGGTGGGTGGAGAATGAGCCACAACTTGGCAGATGTTTGGGTGTGTGATATAATAAATACGAACGCAGATGTGATGACCAGCTGCTTCCACTCCCAAATATACCCACACAGGTTGGATGTCCACAGGGTCAATCCTCAACTCCCCCCGGGAAGACTGGCAAGGGCAGACCTGACCATGTATCTCCTGATGGGCTGGGCATGTACTGAGAGCAAAGTGTCTCTCTATAGGGACAAAAGCCACATGGACAGGTGCCCAGCCCTAGCAACTGAGAAAATCCAAATTCAAACCTCCCCAAGGGAGAGCTATTTAGTGGCTGTTTGAAAAGTCAAAACATACGATTAGTACTCAACCCAGCATTTCCACTCTGAGTATTCACCTAAGGGTCCAACAGCAAAGATGCCTGTAGAATACTGTGCACCCTTGTCTGCAGCAGCATGATTTACAGAAGCCCAAGGTAGATACGGTCCAAATGTCGAGCCAAAGATGGATGGGTGGACATACACAGTGGGGTCTGATGCCACACTGGAATATTACTCAGCCAGGAAAAGGAAGCCAGGCTGTGACACTCACCACAGCATGGATGGACCTTGAGGACACCATGCTCAGTGAGAGACACCAGACACAGAAGTACACATAGTATGGGGCTCTGTGGACAGGAAGCGCCCAGAACAGGCAACTCCAGAGACAGGAAGTGGACTTGTGGGTGCTGGGGCTGGGGGGAGGGGTGACTGCTCATGGGGACGGGGCTTCCTGTTGGGGATATGAGATGCTCTGGAGGTGGATGGTGGTGATAACTGAATCACAGTGTGGCTATCTATGTTCTTTTTTTTTTTTTTTTGTACCAGGGATTGAACTGGGGTCCTTGTGCTTGTGCAGCAGGCGACGAAACCACTGAGCTAAATCCCTGGCCCTATCTATGTTCTTAATACCAGTGGACTGTAGACTTTAAAATGGCTAAGTGGCTAATTTTACTGATGTATTATTATTATAAAAGAAAAAACCACGAAGCCTAGGGGGTTTTTGGGCATGAGCAGTGCTGCAGACTGAGAGTCTGAACCTGTCCACCCTGTGAAGATCCTGACAAAGAAAGGGGCTCCTGGGCCGGGCATGTAGCTCAGTAGTTTCGCTGCCTGCCTCACAAGCGCAAGGTCCCTAGCTTGATCCAAAAAAAAAAAAAAAACAAAGGGGCTCCAATTTTAAGCAGGGAGGCTGGACTTTGGGAGGCTGAGGCAGGAGGATGTCAAGTTGTATCCCAGCCTGGGCAACTTAGCAAAACTCTGTCTCAAGATAAAAAATTAAAAGGGCTGGGGATGGAGCTCAGTGGAAAAGCCCTGGGTTCCATCCCCAGTACTAGAACAAAAATTCCAGCCGAGTCACTGGATTTTGCCCTTAAAGTTTGGAGGGCCCCTCCCCTGTAGTGTCAGCCTCTCGCTGCTCTTTTGATGTTGGGCCCCCATCCAGGCAGGTTGTGGAGGGCTATCCCCAAGTCATCTCTGTGGGGAAGACCCCGAGAGATGGAGGCCTCCCCAAACCAGCTTGGAGATCCCACTCGGCCACCCGTGAGCTGCCATTTCCGGAGTGCCGAGGGCCGGTAATTGGCTTCTTGGTTGGGCCGCTCTGCTCCTCGAGGACACAGCTATTAACAGCCCGCCTGTGGGGTGGCCTGATGTCCACTTTGGGGAATTGAGCTCAAGGAAATTGTCCAAAAGGGAGAGAAAAAAATTAAAGAGTGATCTGTACCAAGAGGTTCACAGCAGCTGGGTCCGAGCGAGCCAAGGGCTGGCCTCCACCCAATGTCTCAGCGTGGCAGCACAGCGTGAGCCAGAGCGGGCCGGCACCTGCCCACCTCATGGGTGACCTTGGACGACTCCTCGCCCCTCCCTTCGGAACCTGGCTCCTCGCCTGTGCTTGGCCCTCACGTGCCCAGTGTTCTTTTGGAGGGCTCAGGGCCCTCGGGTGGCTCCCCACCTTCTCTGAGCCTGTGGGGACCCTGCTCTGTGGGAACACCCATGGGGGACAGGGATGAGCCGAACCCTCTCCTTCCACCAACTCCCTCTCCCAGAGCTACCCAAGCTCTCAGCTCAGATGGGGAAAGGGGGAAACTGAGGCAGTAAGAGACACCACAGCATTTGAACCAGCAGGCAGTCTGTAGGCTGCTGCAGGGACTGAGGGGTCCTCCTCCTGCCTCAGAGCCATAGCACATCACCTGGGGCGACTGACCGGGAGGCTGAGACCCACTGGGGCTGGGGGCTTGAGGTCACATAGAGAATGCCCATACCGGGTGGGCAGGGCTCTGCCTGTGTCCTCAGCCTCTGGAACCGGAGACCCCAAGCTGAGTCAGGGCTCTGTGGAGAGGTGGGGACAGTGCGTCCCTGCTGGAGGACCTGAGTGGCCAGGGATCACAGAGTGGGCAAATCCTGGCTGACTAGAGGCCAGAGGCTGGGGATTACAGGCGAGCTCAGAGGGGGATCAGCAGGCCTGAGCCTGGATGTGGTTACATCAGCAGCAGGTGTCAGGGATTAGGAAGGGGACATGGCCAGGAAGACGGCTGGGTTCCTGGGTGCTCCCAAGGCAGGGCAGGCATTTCTGGACTGAGTGTTGAGTGCCAGGGCGGACACTGATCGGCACTGTGGCGGAGAGGGGGCTGTGGTGTGTTGGGTGCAGAAGAGGCAGGGGGCACTGTACCCTGAGTGGACAGGGAGGTGCCTTTGGGGATGGTAGGGTGTGGTGAGGGGGGAGGACCAGCACCCAGGCAGTGGGACACACAGGTGCAAAGGTCCTGAGGTCAGCCAGGTGTGGTGGTGCACACCTGTCATCCCAGGGCTAGGGAAGTGGAGGCAGGAGGATCACCAAAAGTTCAAGGCCACCCGGAACTACAGAGTGAAACTATCTCAAAAAAAAAAATAAATAATTTTTAAAAGGCTGTGAGGTCTTCAGGTTTTCCCAAGGCTAGCCAGGAGCCCAGAGCACAGGGAGGTGGAGGAGACAGAATCAGAGGACCAGCATTTGGGAGAGGGCCCTGCTATGCAGGCTGGTGGGTTCGGACAGGGTCCCAGGCTGCTGTACTGGGATAGGATCTGGAGACTGAACTTCAGAGCCTGGCCCAAGCCTTTGGGTGCTAGGACAGGCCCCTAAGTGTCCCCTGTACCTATGAGGGGTTGGGAGGTTGAAGTGGGAACCTCAGGCCGGGCCCTGGGGAGAGGCAGTGGCCTCGGCCCCCAACCCCTGATGCCTCCCCCCAGACCCTGTCATCTCTTCCTCTCCAGAGGGCAGAGCTGGACCCCACCCTCCCTCCCTCCTGCCCACCTGCTGCACCCCCCAACCCCACCCAGCCTACAAAACTTCCCCTGGTGATGGGGTTTATTCCCCAGCTGGATGGAGGAATCCATCACCGGGGATTAGCACGGCCCCAACTCTCGCTGATCGGATTCCCAGGTCATGTAGGGCTGGGAACAAGGCTTCCCATCCTTATCAGGCTCCAGGACCCCAGGGAATGTGAGCCGTGCAGAGCCAGCATCCGAGGATCCCAGCTGGGTCTAAAGCAACTGGACAAGTCAGGAGCAGGGAGCTGACCAGCGGCAGGAGAGGCGGAGTTGGAGCTCAGAGGGGAGAGAGGAAGGCGGCCACCTGCCATCACTCTCAGGGGACAGATGCCCCTGCCCTCCCTGACCCTCCAGGTCCCCCAGGTCCACCTGTCCCACCACGGCCCTTCAGAGGTCTTCAGGGCTCAGCTATTCCTTGTTTTGGGCTCTGTGGCCTTTGGAGTCTGAACACTTGAGACGGGGGAACAGCTTGAACTGTGTTATTTTCTTGCTTTTTTTGGAAACAGGGTTTCTGCTATGTAGCCCAGGCTGGCCTCAAACTCATGGTGCACCTCCTGCCTCAGCCTTCCTGAGTTTTGGGATCACAGACATGTGGCACCTTACCCAGATACTGTGTTGTGTTTATTTTCTAAATGATCCTACGAGGATGGGGTGGGGCCTTTGGCCCAGGACACCCTCCACAGGACATATCCCTTCCTTCCTCCCAAATCATATCTACTGCACACCAGGCCGAGTCTAGCACAGGAAAGGACCTGGCATCCACATGCTGGTCAAGCCTGCTTCTTCACAGAGATCAGGAAGCTCCCTTGGGTTTGCCCATGGCCCCAAGGGCCTGTGTCATACAGAGGCTGGGCTTCACCAGTATTGGATGTGTCTACACTGCCCAGAGCAAGTATCAGGATGTAGCTGGTGAGGACCTGGCCCAACCCCTCGGGGAGTGCAGCAAACATGCTGTGTAACAGGGATGGAAGGGCAGAAGGATGGGGTGAGACTCACTGGGCTGTGGGTACAGCCAGGGCAGAACTACCACTCCAAAGGAAGGCAGGAGAATAGGAACAGCAGCTTGAGCCTCCAAGAAGCTGCCTTGCCCTGGGGTGGTGGTCCATGGCTGTAATCCCAGCACTCGGGAGGTTGAGGCAGGAGGATTGCCTGGAGTTCCAGGCCAGCCTGGGCTATATAGTGAGTTCAAGCCCAGTCTGAACTACAAAGTGAGACCTGTCTCGATAAATAAACATACAAACAAGCAAGAAAACAAACAAAAAACGATGCTGCCAGGATGTAGAAGTCAGATACCCACCTCTTTGCCCCATGTTGCCACCTCCACATTTGGGAAATTGAGGCTGAGAGGCAATAGCCAGTCACAGGAGAAACAGACCAAATCTAGCTTAGAGCTGGACTCCCCTACGTACCCTCCCCTTGCTGTAGGGTTCCCCGGGACACCTTCCCCACCTCGTCCTCCTCCAGCCTGGGCAGACAGCATCATTCCAGGGGGCCAATCACTAATGGTCCTCAACTAGGAGCTGGGGTGCAGGCCAACTTACAGGGATAGAGCCACTGGGGAACCAGGTCAAAGCTAAGGAAGGGAAATCCTCTGGGGCCAGGGGCCCCTGTCTGCTGCTCCATACACAGATTTTAGGAATCAACACAGAAGCTGGGCATGGTGGCAGATGCCTGTAATCCAAGCACTCTGGGAGGCTGAGGCAGGAAGATCATGAGTTGAAGCCCAACCTGGGCCACTCAGTGATTTAGTGAGACTCTGTCTCAAAAAGTATGAAAAAAAAAAAAAGATTAAAAGGGGGGGAGGGTGGGGCGGCTGGGATGTAGCTCAGTGCAAATGCTCTGGGTTAGATCTTCACTGCACAAAGAACACACATGATCCATGGCCTGCCCCTAATACCTGCCACAACCTCCATCCAGAAGGTCCTGTTCTCTCCTAGATTTCACTGGCCTGGCTGAAATCTCTCTCTCCTCCTGTGATAAGTAACCTTATGAAGTCCACATTGCTAATGTGACATTCCTGGGCCTGTCTCCATGCTGAATCTGAAGGGTCGCAGGCCCAGAGTGGGGGGTGGTGAGCCCAGTGCACCCCTTTAGCACCTGATCAGGGTGACTCACCCTGTCCCCATAGGGCCCAGGCGGGGCTCTCCCCACACACACCATGCCCAGGGGAGGGGTGAGGAGATCTCTGACTCCTGCCAGCCTCTCTCTGCCCGTCTGCCCCCAAGTTGCAAATTCCAGAGCCTTCGCCACACAGGCCCTTGACCTGCCCGCCCCAACAAAGGCCTTGTGCCTAACACTTGTCAGCTGGTGTTCTGCCCCCATCTCCCCGGTGCCCCCTCTGGCCAGCTGGCACTAAGCCCCCACTTGCAGCAGGGCCAGGCCAATGGGGAGATGGAGTCCATCCTTCTCCCTGTCCCAGCCTGGGCCACATGTGGCAGAAAGACAAGTCTTGGCTCTCAGGCTGGGAGGGAGGGTCCAGGTGTAGCCCCTCTGGGCCCTTCCCGGGTCCCGTGATCCCTGGCCTCTCTGAAACCAGGGTGCTTGGGTCAAGGCCTTACTCCTGTCTCAGGAGGCTCTGAAGGCTCAAGTTGGAAAAGGACTTTCTTCCTAACTTTGCACTTGACTTGTGTGCTTCTGAGCCTCAGTTTCCCCACTTGTCAAGCACTGAAAAGGAGGAGTTTCACAGCCCTCCTTGTCCAGCTCTGCAGGACCAGGAGGCCAGAGACCGGGGTCTCGAGGAACAGCGGCCCAGGTAGGAGCTCGGTGGCTGCCAGGCCCTGGCGCTGTCCGTGGTGCTGAAACCTCGCGCCAGGGTTCCCGGGATGACGAGCGCCCTGTCTACACCTCCGTACTCCAACTCTCACCCTACCCAGGGACAGACACCCGCACACGCTCGCCCACCCCGGGCGCAGGCACACTCACCTGACCCCCACCTCAGTGACCTACCAGGCACAATCCCAGCGACACGCCTCCCTGGATCCCCGGGCCACACGCCCCCGGGACCTCCGCCTCCTGTCACGCGCTCCTGTGCACACCCGCCCGGCCTGCAGTGACACGTACTGTCCACACTCGCCGGCGACACAACGCACACTCGGGGAAGAGAGCGCAAAACACACCCGCGCCGGCCCTGCCCAAGCCCTTTCCTCCGTCCGTTAACCAGTTCAATCCGTGTCAACCTACACACACCCCCTGACACTTGGGAACACCATGCACGCAAAACATCGCGGGAGACGTGGCCTGAAGACCCCCGCGACGCTCAGCATCCCCCTCGCACGCTCCTCGGGGCTGCAGACCCCGAAGCACCTGCCCAGGACACAGATGGAGTCGGTGGGAGCGCGCGGCCCCCTTAACCCCTTCCCTGCCGGCCTCTCGGGCGCATCCTTCCGGGGCGCCCTTCCTCCCTCCCTCCCTCCCTCCCTCCTGCCGCTCCGCCGCCTCCCGCGCCCACGTTCCCCTCTATTCGTCCTCTCCGCCCCTCCGCCAGACCCTGGCGCGCGCCCACCGCACCGCAGGGCGGGGAATGTCAGGGCGCGCCGAGGGTCACCCAGGGGAGCCCGCGTGCGCCCCAGGCCACCCCACCCCCCACGGAGGGTGGAGCCTCGCGCGCCCCGCTCCCTCCGCGCCGGGCCCCGAGCTCGCCCGAGGTCACTGAGGGGCCCCGAGGTCGCCGGCCCGCGCGCCGCCCCGCCCTCCGGGGCGCCCCAAGGACGGCCCCGCGCGCCCCTCCGGAGGCGGCACCTGAAGTCGCTGTAAGGATGGATGATCCAGGCCCCCGCGGACTTCACGCGCTCCTGCTCGCGCTCCACAGCCTTCTGGCTGCCGAACATCCGCAGCGAGAACTTGTTGACGCCGGGCTGCAGGAGCGCGCCGAACTGGCGCTGCATAAAGCTGGCCTGGCTACCGCGCGGCTCCCCGGCCGGGCCCGCCTCCTCCTCCGCCGGCCCCGAGAACGACACTTGGGGGCCCCGCGCCGCGCCCTCGGGGCTGCACTGCGGCTCGCCGCGCCCGCACTCGCCATTCGGGCCGCCCTTGGCCGTGCCAGGGGTGCCAGGCCGGCCGCTCGTGCTGTCGCGGCTGCGGAGCCGGCCGCGCGGGCCGCCCTCGTCCTTCGCCTCCTCGGCGCGCGGCGGCGGGGGCTGCGGCTGTGGGGGTGCGGGG